GAGACTAACAAATTTATTAGAGCATAAGCTTTTGTGGACTACAGCCCACTTATGCTCTAATAAATTTGTTAGTCTCTAAGGTGCCACAAGTACTCCTGTTCTTTTTGCGGATACAGACTAACACGGCTGCTACTCCGAATACTAGGGTGGGTTCCTTAATCTGTGGAAAAAGATTCATACATCCTTGGAGGAATCTTGCTGTCATGGGGTAAGCAAAAATTGAAAAACGCTCTACAGATGAATGAGTGGTTGTGGTAGCCACCAAGTGAATCTTGACAGATCTCATAGCAAGAACTGACTTTTCTAATTCCAACAGGTAGTTGAGAAGAATGAAAACAGGAAAAGTCTGTCATCACAGACCCTAATGGTGAAATCTCTTGCATTTCTGAGAGTAAGTATTTTGTGCAGAAGTCTTCCAGCTGTTTAACAATACCCTTTTCTTGCTTGGTTCAGTAGATCTATGGTAGGATGAGTACTGAGCTGGATGAAATCTCTGTGCTGTGTACAACCTGCTAAATTTTCTCTTATTATCAGGAATATTAATGCCCAGGGACCTGAGTGTGGCCCTAGAATCTTTTAAAGTGTGAAAGGATTCATCCATGGACTCAGAGAAGAGCTTAAGCCCATCAAAAGGAGGGTCTTCTACAGTATTTTGTATCTCCCTAGGAAAGCCGGACAGTCACAGCCAAGATGCTCTACACATAACAGCAGTTGAGATGGAGTGGGCCACTGTGGGAAGCTTGTAGAGAGATTCCTGCTAACAGCGGACTTCGTCAATGATGGTTTGAACTGTTCTCGATGTTCCATTTGGAGGTGATGAATAAAATTGTAGAATGTGTCATAAATGATGTAGGTATATTTTGCCATCAAGACTTGATAATTAGTGATTCAGAACGGCAGAGTTGCTTGTATCCAAATCGGTTCAGATGCTTTTGGTCCATGACAGAGAGTATGAATTTCATCTGGTGTTATCTGCCACACTCATTGACTGCCTCTACAACCAAAGAATTTGACTGAGGGTGCAAGAATGTATTTTTCATTGGTATATGAAATATTTTTTTGTCTGCCTGTTTGCAAGTAGGCAGTGCAGTGGCTGGAATTTGTCAGATGGTTTTGGCAGGATTAAGTATCACTTCATTCACTGGTAGAGCTACTCTGCCAGAAGCTGATATACGTAAAATGTTCAAAAGCCTATGTTGAGAGCCCTGGACCTCTACTAGCACAATCTGTAATGATTTAGCAATATATTTCATCATCAGCTCCTGAAACTGCTTAAAGTCATCAGCAACAGAAGGTGGAGGTGGCATTACAAGTCTTGTCTGGTGAGGATGATGAAATCTTAGTTTGCGGTGTCACCTCCTTGTCCGCTGTAGCTTACTGGTCTGCAAAAGACTCCTCCTGAGGCTGCTGAGGAGTAAGTGATGAGACAGGGAGTGTCTCCCTCAATGATCCCCATGGGAGGAACTGGGAGGCTTTGAGAATTGCAGGCAGTATACAGCCTACGGGTCCCAGCAGGGCCACTGAGGCTGATCATAAGGCAAAGGAAAGAGTATTCAATGCTGGTCATGCCAATAAGGAAGAACATGAGATGGTCTGTACCTTGAGATTTCCCTCTGAGGATAGAAATATGGGGGAATGTCTCTTGTAGAATAGTCAGCGGAACCCTATATGAAGATCTGGACTTGCTGCATCAGTTATGAATGCAAAAAAATTGTATGAGCCCCAGCATCTAATTTCTTGAGCCCTGGCACCTCTTTAATTACAAATTAAGCACTGTCTGAAGTTAAATGCAACTGCCTGTCCATTGTGATGGGTACCAGAAAGCTAGAAGGTTCCGGTGAAAGATACCATCTTGGTGACCCAGTAGATCCTGGTACTGACAATCATTGGGTACCCACTAATGAGCGGGATTCTGGCTTGTCTGACATGACCGAGTCTCTAGAATATCTAAATCCTTGTGGTACCAGGTATAAATGAGCCAAAGTCAGTTGAGGCTCCACAGGAATCTGTGTCGATACTAAAGAGCCTGCCTGCTTTGGTGGTCCCATTTTGGAAGATGGGACAAGTATCGAAGGCAGTGATTGTAGAGATACAGGCCTCCATACCAAGGATGTAGATAGCCTCTGTTGTACTGGTGCCAATGTCTGGGATATTTCTTCAGTGAGGAGTCTGAAAATGGTACAGGCATCCGTGAAGTAGAATGTTTCGTGACTTTGCTAGGTCTATCATGCTTCAGTGGTACCCGAGCTGGATCCAGTACCAAAGTACAACTGGTACCAGTGTTTCAAAGAGCTTCTGGTACTTTTCTTAGGAGCCTGTCAATACCTTTTGCAGTCTTCTCTGTCACGGATCTCAGTGACTGAGAAGCAGAGGTCAAAAGGGCACTAAGAGGCTGATGTACTGGGGGTGGATGGGGGTTCCCTGAGGCTGGTCACAGAGTCTGGCTCCACCATCAGGAGCCTAAACTTGATTTCTCTGTTCTTCTTCAATCAGCTTTTAAAAGAGGTACAGTTCTTGCACTCTGCAGAGTGTCCATCACTGACTTGGATGGATTCTCGGCAGGAGAGGCAACATTTGAATCCTGGGAATCCTGGCAAAAAAAAAAAT